CCTCCCCCCAGCTCTGCCCCTGCCCCACAGGGAGCAGGGAGGGCCTCTCCCAGGCTATGCCAGGAATGCAGCTTGCAGCAGCTCCGCGAGGGGGAAAACGCAGTCTGCTGCCCAGAGGGTGGGTGGATGGGCAGCTGCCAGGGTGGGGAGGGGGCCTCCTCTCCTCTCTTTCTCATCCCAGGTTCCCTTCCCTCTGGGCAGCACAGGGTCCAGGTGGCACAGGACACCTTCCTGGGGCAGCCCAGCCTGGGAACAGTGTGCCCAGAACTTGCTTCTCCCCAGTGTGGCCAATGTGGGCAGAGGGGGCAGCTGCTCAGTGCCAGCGGCTCCTCCCACCACCATGGCCATGAGCTCAGGCGATTGTTCAAAGAAACGTCTGCCCAAAGCCCAGAGCTCCAGGGCAGCTTTCTGAGCCAGAGAGGAGGAGGAGGATGTGCTTCCAACCAGCGGGGCCAGCGGGCAGGGGAGTAAGGACAAGAAGCTCAACAAGAATCCGGGTGACGATTTTCTGTGCCCTGTGGTTGGCCGGTCTAGGCTTGGGCCTCATGTCCATGAACCTTTGTAACCCTTTACTTTGAGAGGTGGGGCCTGAGTGGACCTCATTTCCCAGACGAGGAGGAGGGTCCGACGCTCAGCCACAGATGCTGCGGCAGGGCCTCGACCCAGCGTCCAGCTCGGAGCCCAGGCCCTCACGCCCGGCCAGGAGGCCTCCCGCCAGCCGAATCAGGACCCCCGTGGCCGTGACTTTCACAGCACAGACGCTTTGCCGAACCCCAGTGCAGTGCCCAGGCAGTGGGGCGGGGCGGGGCCCTGGATGGCCTTGCAGGGGCAGCTACAGGCCCGGCCTGCGCAGTCTGCCTGGGACAAGCCCAAGCCCACAGAGGTGGTTCTGCACCACCTGCCCCCGGGCCCACCCCACAACCCACCCCTCAGCCGGGGCATATGAGGCTGGGGGGTGGCCTTAGCTCACCCCATGGGGGCTCAGGCCGATGACAGTGACAGGGAGCAGGGAGCGCAGAAAGACAGCTGAGTGTTGTGCAGAATGCCAGCATGACCTTGGCTTTGGGGCTGAAGACCAGCATGGGTGCCCACTCTGGGCCCCATCGCACAACCAGGTGGGGCTGTCACTCCCTTGCAGCACACTTGCCGATGCCCTCTGTGTGTACCACCAGACCCTCCTGCCCACCCCACACAACACGAAGACGAAGGGAACGATGTTCTCCATCTCACTGGCGCCAGCGATGGTCGCCCCGTGGCGTCTCTTGCCTCACAACCTGCCCTGTCCACTGCCCTCCCAGGGCATCCTCCAGACCCATGAATGCAGAGGGCAGTGCCCAGACCACCTGCCTGCTGCCTGGTTTCTGCCCTGGGGTGCTTTTTGAGCACTGTGAGCTCCGGGAAAGGAGGCAAGCAGAGAGGAGACTCGGGGACCCTACACCCAGAGAGGACAGTCTTGGGGAGGCCCTGTGGATGCTGGGTCATCCAGGCCCCACTCTGGGGGAGGGATTGTGGGGAGAAAGGAGTCGCAAGGGGGCTCGAGGTGACTGGGGATGCAGAGTGCCCGGCGGTGAGGCCGGCACCCTCAGCGCCAGGGTCGGTCCTTCCCCAGAGGCGGGGTGGCCAAGAGGGCCCTTGTGCCGATGTGGGTGCTGTTCTCCCTAGTTCTCAGCAGCTTATCTGAGGGCCTGAAAGGGTAAAACCCTGTGGCCATCACAATACCCCTGGCAGGCCCAGGGGACCCTTGGAGCAGCCCCTGATATCAGAGGTGTGTGTCGGGCAGGGGACAGGGACTCTGGGGAACTGACTTCTGCATGTGTTCTGTGACACACCCGACCAGGTGATTCCACCTGTCTCTTGAGGGAAGAGGGTGGCCACACCCACTGACAGCCTCGTGGAGCTGGAAGGAAGCAGGTTGGGCTGCATCCTGGCTTAGCCGAGGAAGGCTGGGGAAGAGGATGTGGCCGGCTTTGGAGACACCTCCCTCCCTTCTGCCACCCCCTCTCCTGGTCACAGGCCTCAGGGTCTTATTCCTGGTCAGCTGTCAGTGTGGAAGGGTCCCAGGACATGTGGCAGGGAGCAGCGGAGGGCCACTAACCTGCGCAGAAGTGACTTTTGACAGGAGACTTAAGCTCTTCCTCATCAGTTAAATCAGGAGAATTAGTCGTGTTTTCAGGAGGGTGAACTCAGACAGTAGATAATACCTTCGAAGTGCTGGGCATGCGCAATAAGGCTCAATGATCTGGGCAGGGAACTTCTGCAAACCCAGCAAATCACACCTGTTCCCTCTGGTTCCCCACACAGAGGCTGGCCCCCACAGTGGCAAGGGCGGAGAGGGTTCTGAAAAGGACACAGCGAAGCGGCAAAAAGAGGCCACTGGACAAAAGGGACAGGTGTGTCCAGGAGCCAAGAGCAGTGGGCAGCTCCGGCCACCTAACCAGGCCAAGTGGGTTCCAGAAAACAGGGAGACAGGTGTAGAGCGAGGAGCTACCACCTGGTTTCTTGCCTCGCAAGGAAGCCTGGGTCCTGCCTGACTGGGTGTTGGAAGGGATGATTGAGGAATTGTTCTGGGAAAATTCCATGCAGAAAAGCCAGACCATGCCTCACCTCTGAGCAGGGCAGGGCAGCAGGGTCGGCATCCTGGGCCTTCCTGCTGTCTTTACAGACCCTTCCGGCCCCTGCGCCTGCCCTCCCAGCCCAGTTTCCCCTCAGCCTTTCCAGCACGGCCCACTCTGTCCCCAGCTTCCAGGGCTGGGGAAACAAGACTCCCTTCCTTGGTAGCACCCGGAGGACTCACCTTGAACGCAAACCACATAGGGTTAGCTTTGGCAAGTCCCTCTGCCCCAGGAGCAGGTGTGCAAATCCATCCCAGGCCTGGGGACCCTCAGCTGAGACAGGGCTGCTGCCTTCTCGACCTCTCTCCACAGCTCCTCAAGGTCTGGACCCAACTGACCCCCAAGCCCCCGGCCTGGGTCAAAAACAGGTGCAGGGCTCAACTTAGACATGCCCTGCGGGCTCCCCGCATCTCTCTGCTCCCTCAAAGGGGCTGGGGATTGGCCATGCAGGGAATGAGACAGGAATAGGATTCTTTTTTTGGAAAGTAAAGAGAGAAAAGGAAAGAAAAGAAAGCAAAGCATCATTTGCCCCCTGGAGTCTGGGAAGCCCGGCTCCCTGGCAGAACCCAGTGGGCTGGGGCCTCCCTGCACGGTGGGTCTCCACACCCCTCTGGACCCAGCCCTCTCTCAGGGACACAGGAGGAAGGCAAGGAAGAGAGAACATATGTGTGAAAGAGAGGAAAGGCGGGGAAGGTGAGTCAGGTGTCAGCTGCTTGGACGGCTGGCCAGCAGCCAAGCAGGGAGCAGGCCCCGGGGGCGGGCGCCACCCTCTTCACCTTGGATGTGTCTCAGTGCCAGCACAGGTGAGGGCGGAGCAGCGTGGGTTGACCCTTCCCTCGTTCATGCAGTGACGGTGGGAGGAGCCCTCCCCAGTGACCTGGCGGTGCCTGGCCAGGTCAGAACGCAGCTCCTCCCCCGCCGGGAGAGTTCTTTCTCGCCACCCTGCCCTGGCGGCTGCCACATTTATCCAGCCCGCGTCAGCTCTCTTTAGAGCATTTTCTTTCCAACATTCAAGCCCTAAGCCAAGCTCACAGGTCATTGCTCCAAGGACTCTCCTGACCCCCCAGCTCCTGGGGTCCCTGACCCACTCAAGCAGGTTGGTTCCTCTTGCATCCTGCCCAAATCCCCCAAACTTCCAGAGAAATCTGTCCTTTGTACCAAGACCCCTCCCCTCCAAGTCCTGTCTGGTAGCCTGGGCATCATCCACACCCAACTGCGGCCAAGCCCAGGGTGGAGGCCAGGAAGCCATGTCCTGTGAGCCAGCTGGGAGGCTCGCCGTGTGGCCAGGCAGGCTTTCCTCTGGCTGGACTTCCATGTCCCTCTTGGTTACGTGCCTCTCTGGAGGGGATGGGGCACAGAATGACTTCTTCCAGCCTCTGTGGTTGGACACCCAAAGTTCTCCCACAGGCGGTAGCAATCTCATGTGACAGGTGCCATCTCTGAGTTCCTGGAGTCAGGGCCAAAGGGGACCAGCAAGCATCAGCTTTGTGGAGTCCCCCGCCCGGTCTCTTCTGGCCACCCGTGTTCCTTGGGTATGTTTCCCATGTCGCCTCCTGTTGCAGTAACTATTTACGGGGGAGGAGGTTAGGCTCCTCTCCACCGGGGTGTGAGCTCCTGGGGGTGTGCGTGTGGGTGTCCTGTTTATTTCGGTGTCTCCGATGTCCAGTGCTGGCAGAGAGCACACAGGGTGGGCATTTCTGGATGTGCACATGTGTATCTGTTCCATGACTTTGGGACAGTCCTGTGACCCAGACTGGAGGGAAACGGCACCCAAGCCTGGCTCCCTCCAGAGGCGCCTGCCCACTGAGTGGCTCCACGTGCACCCGAGACTGCCAGCTCCTCCAGGGCTGACAAATGGGTCTGCTTAGCCACAGCAGGCCCCCAAACACTGAGGGAGGTTTGTCACAAGCCTCTGCAGACACCTTAGGCTTCTCCCCAACACTGAGGATGGCTTCAGCCCTGCCCCCTGCCTGGACTCAGCAGGCATCTGTGTCCTGCCCTGGCCAGTGACTCTTAGAGCCATCACAGGCGCCTGGGGCAGCTCCACCTTGCACACTGGCCAAACTGGGCATTTTTGGGCCTGAACCCTGTTACTGTCCCTTTCTCAGCTTCATGGGTCCTGGTGGAAGACCTCTTCTTTTCCAGGGTGTTTGGGGCCTGGCTCTGTGCAGAGACTTTACGGGCCATTTTCCTGAATGTTCCATCAATGAGACACCTCCACAACCTCTGCCTGGGTTGGCTCCTGCTAGGTCCTGCTTGTGAGCTACGGATACCTGCCTCCCCCTCCTCATCTTCCCCAGGCACGCATCGTGCACACCATGGCCTTTGGCTCCGTGCGCCCTCCCGTCACCCCCTGGCCATCAGCCCGCTCCATCCTGTGCCAGGTACCTTGTCCCAATCCACCTCTTTGAGCCTTGGTTCAATGGCAGGGTCTGTCTTCTGAGGTTCCTCAGTGGCTACAGCCTCACTCTCCGTCAAATCCTGCCAACAAAAGACACAGGGCGTTACTTACAGCCGGTAGGGCAGAGGACAGAGCCCCGAGCTGCCCTGTGAGGTGGCAGTCAGGAGTAGCGAGAGCCCCGTGGCTGGGCAGCGTGGGTGGAAATCAAGAACACTGAGTACTGTCGAAGGCAGAGAGACACTGGTGCGGGTGTTACTATTCTCTATACTTTACTTCTCCCTCGAAAAAATGTCTGCAAAAACAAAATCAGCAGGAAGATGGGGAGAGAAAGCAAGCTGGTTGACAGACCACAGGGCAATGAGAGTGGTTGGTGGGGTGCTCCGGGAAAGGGGTCCCTGCCAGTCGTCCTCCAGGTCCCTGGCAGGTACCAGGCAAAGGGAGTCACAGGGTGGCACCCAGGGCACCTGGTGGGGCTCACTGTGCCATGGCCGGTGACTGTCGTGCCTCCCTGGCTATTCAATAGAGCCCCTGAGTCACAGGTGGGCTTCTAGGTTCACGCGCCTACAAGAAAGGTAGCAGGAAATGAGGGAGCCCGTTCCTCCAGCAGTCCCATGTCAGCGGCCACACGCGGGGTGGAATCGGGAGAGGAGTGCCCGAGTGAGTTCAAGGTTAAATCGAATTAGCAAAGAGGCAAAGTCAGAAGGAAATGGAATGTGCTGGAAAATCACACGGCCCCAGCTAGCTCTGACATCACTCGGGGTGAGGCCAGAGACAGCAGACCGGCACGTAGGAAGGGCGGGAAGGCGCCTGCCTTTGCTGAGTCCCAGTGATTGAAGGAAACTACGGTGCCGGTGGGCGTGGAGTGGCCCTTGGAAGCCGGGTCCTGGCAAGAGGCTGAGAGGCTACGTCACGATTCTTACATTTTTGTTTCCAAATGATCCCAAGAGAACCTGATGGTGACAGTGACCATGTTGGCATTTTCTAGGAAAATCCATATGTAACCCTAATAAAAGTGGGCTTTTGTGGTCCTGACTTGGTCTGTGTATCTCAGCATATTTAGTTTTGTGTCATCAAGCTTTTTTTTTGAAAAAAGCATCTCATGCTCTCTTGAGGACAAAGAAGAGTGGATTTTATAGCACATCATACACTGAAATTCCCTAAATATCCAATATAAATATATTCCCTCTTCCCATGTCAGTAGCTCAATAATCTTCTGCCTTCCAATTCTGGTTTACCCTCAAAATATCCCAGATGGCACCCAGGCCCGGAGCTAGACAACCCCCCTCTCTCCCGGACAGTTATTTTCTCCTGGTCACCCCAAGTCCTTCCTTTAAGTAGAGTGATCTACCCCTTTTCTGCACCTCAAATCCTACTCACTGCAACCCCATCTGCTTCTCCCAGCAAAACAAAGGGATCACCTTAGCAGGGAAGGGGTTATCATATATATTACCCTTTAATGTTTCAGACATCCCACGGTGGCAGACACAGATCTGTTTTGGGTACATCCACCTAAACAACCACCGAAAGTGGAAGAGAAGGCATCTACCTCATCACCTCTTAGCACTGGACGCGAAGCACTCATCTACCCGACTCGCGTCTGCAGTCCTCAGAAAAGTCTCCCTACGCTCAGCCACCTGCCTCCAGTTGTCTGGGTATCACTCCTGGTTCCTCCCTTCTAGGGCTGCACGGGCCCCTTCTCTTTCACCTGACAGGCCTATAAATATTTGGGAACAGCCAATACTCCCACCTCATTATCTACTTTTCCCCAGGACCCTGTTGGGACACAATGGAGTCTCTAAATAGGCCAGCTGTTCCATGTTCCTCCTCCAAGGCAAGGTGTGATGGGACCAGCGCAGAGCCCAGCAGGGCTTGTGCTGGCTCCTGTGGGGCATCATATTTCTTTTTTTTTTTTTTTTTTGAGACAGAGTCTCACTGTGTTGCCCGGGCTAGAGTGCCGTGGCATCAGCCTAGCTCACAGCAACCTCAAACTCCTGGGCTCAAGCAATCCTTCTGCCTCAGCCTCCCGAGTAGCTGGGACTACAGGCATGCGCCACCATGCCCGGCTAATTTTTTCTATATATATATATTTTTAGTTGTCCAGATCATTTCTTTCTATTTTTTAGTAGAGATGGGATCTCGCCCCTGCTCAGGCTGGTCTCGAACTCCTGACCTTGAGCTATCCACCCGCCTCGGCCTCCCAGAGTGCTAGGATTACAGGCGTGAACCACTACACCCAACCGGGCATCATATTTCTGATCATGGGAACTGAGAAACTGTTGGTCTTTTAGCCATCCTACAATGCAGATCATTCACTTAGCCTATGGCCACCTGGACCACTGCTGTTGGCATGGTGTGCAGAGCTGGGATGGCCCAGAGGGTGACCTGGACCTGCAGGCCTGTTCACTGGAGTGTCACAAAAGGTGTGGGATGAAGCCTGGGACTCCCAGAGTAGGGGTGAACCGTAGAGTGGTAGGCAGTGCAGAACAGGGAAAGCCTGAGAAATGAAGTCATGATGGGGGCCTGCCCCCTGCCTGGACTCAGCAGGCATCTGTGTCCTGCCCTGACCAGTGACTCTTAGAGCCATCACAGGCGCCTGGGGCAGCTCCACCTTGCA